GTCTACCAAATATTGTTTCAGTGAAAGAAGCTGCAGATTTGTATGCATTTAGAACAGAAACCAAAAATTTCCTTGCTGTAAAACTAAAACTGAATAACTAATTGTCCAAATCTCAGAGTAGGATAAAATTCTAAAATTTTAAAAAAATATGGGTTCTAAAAAAAATAATAATAACAGCCTCCAAGAATCTGTCCTTGATATACTATCAACTACATGGTCAGTTCTCATGTTCCATGCCAATGTAAGAAACTTAGAGTTGTATGTGATGTACAGCGGAAATAATTTGTATTCTATGGTTTCATGTAATTCTGACATAGAAAGTAAGTTTTCCTCAACAGAATCTGCATAATCAGGAAAGAAAGGTTTCATTTGTTTTATTTTATTTTTAATTATATACATTTGTAGGGATCTGAGAATATGAGGCAAGAAGGCGGCTCTGGATTTCCTGTACCTAGAGTTACTTAGAGTTGTGGACTCGATGACTTGAGTGTTGGGGACCAAACTCCAGGCCCTTGAGAGAACAGTATGTGCTCTTAACCTCTGAGATATCTGCCCAGCCCTGGGAGACTTTATTTCTGTGCAATAAGATTAGTCAGAGAGCAACAGTTAAATTCTGTAAGTCAGATGCAAGCTTTGAAGGAAATGGTTTCAATTATTTTTGGTTAACGTGGCAGCAACTGCGCTGTCAGGAAAGATCTCAGATGCTCTTGGAAGTGTTGTTGTGGACCCTGGCATGGACCGTGGCATAGAATAAGATAACTGAGGGTACCAGAGGTCTTACCCCATTTTTGCTAGCTGTGTGACCCCAAATAAATTATTTTTATCAATAAGAAATTTACTGGATAAACTTTAAAGTGCTCAATACATGTTGTTCTGTAAATATGATATAGTAATTTCTTTTTCATTTTTTTATTCCCCTTTCAAATGTTTTTCTTACTAAAGCCTATAATTTGTTTAGTAATTATTATCTAATACTCATTAACTGGATTTTTTCTAAATGCCTGTTATTCTTGTAAGTACAGGGTCTATAAAGATGAATAAGACAAATGTCTTTGCTTTTATCAGTAAGAAATTCAAGTAAGAAGATAAGACAATGAATAAATAACAAAGCAACCTTGGATACTAACAACTGCAAAGATGAATAAGGCAGGAAGAGGGGTTAATTGATGGAGATAAGGTAATTTGTTTAGGGAAACCAAAAAAGGCTTCTAGAAGGAACTGTCTTCAACAAGTTAAAGCTGCAAATAGTAATAGAGAAGTCCAGATGGAGGGCACAGGGACTTCCTCAGAGAACTGAAGTACCACACAGCCTCGGTGCGGGAAGGTGGGAGTGGGCCTAGAATCTTAAAAAATCAAGTTGGAAAGTTAAGCAGCAACGAGATTGTCTATGGCCTTGCAACTATATAACAATTTTATATTTTATCCTAAGAATGAAACACTGCACCAGAGGTATGATACAGCCTGAAACATCTTGAGATATGATCTTACAGAACTGTGCGATAGGGATGGATAAGGGAGAGGAGAAAAGAGAGGGGAAGAGAAGAATCTGTGAGTGACAGGATCCTGACAATGACTCCGGAGCAAGTGTGTCCACCTTCCATACTCTAGTTTCCCCTCCCCTTGTACCTAGACCATCTTCAAAACAGTTTGCCATGTGCATCCTTAGGAGCAAGACCAACTTGTAATTATGCAGAAATATTTTATCACATCCTTTGTCTTACACAAGACATACTCCACTACATTGTCTGGTGTCTTCAGTGCTTGTCTATGTGGTCAACTTCACTATGATCTTTCATTCTGAGTAATGACTGGAACTAGTACCCTGGCGTGACTTGCAAAAGTTTGTAATAATCCAGGAACAAATGAAAGAAATGTCATTCAGACACTGCCACTACAATACAACAAGTGTGCATAGTGCTTATTGCTGAGAACTGCAACACATTCTCACAAAAGCATGACATTTTAATGTTTTCAAATTAACAGTGTAGCGGCTCTGCAGCCCCTCCCTGCACAGCAGTGCACTGGACTGCTTGTCACTAAAAAGGCACTTCTGAATACGCGGTCTTCCCATTGGCTTCAGGAGCATGCACTCGGTGATGATGATTTAATCAGGCATCTAGCATGGACTTAATACATTTGTGATAAGTGATCTTATTTTATTACTTTGACACAGTAATTTAAGTCATAAGATAACTGTTTTCATGGAAATCCTGTAAATGTTTTACGTGTTTAAAACCTTAGAGCTTATTACAAATTCTTTTTACATTTCCTCAAACAGAAAGAAAACATGAGCTACAAAACAAATTAGAAAGGAGTCAATTTAGATACGTTTTAAATTATGCATTTTAAAGAACTATAATTTTGTTGTTTTTAAGTCCTATGAATCAAGTGCTGATCCTTCATAATGAACACACACACACTTTATAGAAGAAAAGGCCTTTAATATAAAATGGAGTCTTTTTGTCATATAATTCAGTGTACAAAAATTTTTATTTTATAAGAAAAAAAGTGTGGAATAATATTTTTTCTTTTTTATTTTTTTTCTTTTTACATACCAACCACAGTTCCCCCTCCCTCCTCTTCTCCCATTACCCTGCACCTCACCCCCTACTACCCATCCACTCCTCACAGAGGTAAGGCCTCCCTTGGGGAGTCAACAAAGTCTAACATACCAAGTTGAGGCAGAACCAAGCCCCTCCACCCCCATAAAAAGGCTGAGCAAGGTATCCCTCCACAGGGAATGGGTGCCAAAAAGGCAGTTCATGCACTAGGAATAAATCCTGGTCCCACTGCCAGGAGCCCCACAAACAGATCAAGTCACACAACCGTCACCCACATTCACAGAGCTTACTTCTCCCATGCATGTTCCCCAGTTGTCAGTCCGGAATCAGTGAGCTCCCACTAGCTCGGGTCAGCTGTCTCTGTGGTTTGGTGTAGAACAGTGTGGGGCTTAGAGTTAGCTGTACTGCTGTTAGTGTCTTTAGCTATGGTTCCCTTCTGTGTCTCTATGCATGTGCAGGCATGGGAGTGTTAGGTTTCCCTTGTGTTTTCCCAGGGTGCGGCATGTAGGTCTTGTAGAATCATTTCCATTTATTGAAGACGAATAGTAAAAATAATAGAGGATGCCAGAACATTGATTGGAGCAATTTTAGGGACTTGGGATTGAGTAGAAATTTACCAAAATCAATCCAGTGAAAACTGCTTCCATCTCAGAATTCACCATCTAAGGAAATCAATCATATCATGAAATAAAATGTGGTAATCCAAATATACAATCACCACAAAGAATTGTTGGAATTCCAGTGACTTCTATTCTCCCCCCCCCCATTTGTCATGTATTGTTTCCATTTCTTTTTGGAAAACAAATAGTATTTAAATAATAAAATGGTTTTAAATTTTGAAAATTATCTAAGTCACTTTAATGTATGCTTCAAGTTTGATTTATTTATGATATTTACTCAAAAAGATGCTGAAAAGTTACTTTTATTGATGGGAGTTAGTTATAAATCAGTTCACCACTATTCTCACTTAACTTTCTTCTTATTTTTATTACTAATCACAAAGTTATACTAACAGACTTGGACTTTAAAATATAAAAGAAACAAAAGTAACTTTTTCTGAAGGAATTAACAAATAAGTCCCTTCTTTGGTTTGACTCTATTAAGTTATAACCTAGTAAGGCGGAAATGCATGTCTATATTTGAAGATATTTCCCAAAAGACAGAGATAACCCCTAACTAAAATTCCATAATGAAGACATACATCAAGAGAGCTAAACTATTATGTACAAACCATCAAAGTGCTATGCAATTGCCTCTTAATCAAATGAAAATTTTGGGCCACAAAAAAAAAAAAAAAAAAAAAAAAAAAAAAAAGCTGACAGTTGAAGTTTGCAGCCTAGTAGAAAATAAGAAGTAAGAATTTGTAAGGCATATTGGTCAAGCTCTTACAGAAAGTTTGGCGTCAGAGCTTTACATTCTTTTCATGTTTATTATGCCTTTCAGGGCAGATAAAGAAACCAAAAGGTATCAGTGCTATATTCTGCTTATGGTTATAAAAATAGCATTACAGAAAATATTAAATATTCATGAGAAATCCTTATTTCCCTCAGGTTCCAGAGTGCAAAAGATGCTGAGAGATATTAAGCACCAAAGGAGGGAACTGTAACACACTACAGATAATCACTAGAGTTATAAACAAAGGCAGTTGATATTAATAATTAAATGAGAACATCCCCTGTGGAGGTTTCCACGAGCGCCAGGCATGGTGTGTAACGTCTCTTGGCTAACTGATCATTAGTATCTTTCTAGACCAGGAGTGTACATTAATGGAACCTGTGTTTCAAGTCCAATAACTTGTCTAGTATAATAAATAATTATACATGCCCTGTGAGGACTCATCCCTCATAGACCCTGGTACTTTTAATGTCTGTGAGAGACTATTCAACAGAAGCAAATAGGGACTCTTTATCCATGCTCTGAAGTTTTGTGTTGCACAGTAACTGAGAAGTAGCAGAATTATTTTAATATCATCAGTAGCTGTGCTGGCTAGTTTTATGTTAACTTGACACAAGTTTGAGTCATTTTGAAGTTGGGAACCTCAATTGAAAAAAATTCCTTACCAAATAGACCTGTGTGCAAGTCTGTGGCTCATTTTCTTGATTGGTGATTGATGTGGGAGAGCCCAGCCCTCTGTGAGCAGGGCCACCATGGGCAGATAGTCCAGGGTGTCATAAGAAATAGGGCTGAGCAAGCCGTGAGAGTATGTCAGTAAACAGCACTCCTCTCTGGCCTCTGCATCAGCTCCTACTTTTAGGTTCCTGCCCTGATTGTTATCAGATTACTGACTGCAAGTGGAAACCTTAACTAAGACAATAGGAAGGTTATATGCACCCAACCTGAGCACTGAAAGTTGTGTGAAATGATATTATGAGTTTTTTTGTTTGTTTGTTTTGTAGGGGTAGTTTTCTCTGTTTTTGAAAACTGTATCTATCTCAACAGGGTTTTCTTCAATGAGCAAGCATCAGTGCTGATTACCACCCTGTGATCCAGAAGAGTCCGGTGACCAAGCATGGCTTCCTCTTGGAAACTAATCCTGTTCCTGTCTGTGACCAGGTGTCTTTCAGGTAAAATGCATGCATAATTATTGGATTGTTGTTAAATCTCAGTTAACAAAGGTGTATGAAGATCTCCATCCCAAAGAACTAAATAAAACAATTATTAATAATTAATTAAAGAAGCTTAATGACATTTTAACTATCCTAAATACAGTTTTAGTAGAATAACATGTATTTTTATATATATAGTGAACCAGTATTGTATGCAAATATTTTCATGTAACATACATACATATATATATATACTGTTTACTATATGGAAATGTGGATGATATAACCATATACACAACATTTCATTTTACATGTAGTGGCATGTGCTCTTAGCACTTATACTACACTGCTATGTGGTAAAAATTTTTCATTGACTGTACAGATTTTTTGTTGTGTCGAATAATCAAATACATTCTCTGAATAGCATCACATTTTGCGTATGCAGTGTTCTCTCAAGTAAACAGAAACTATCAAACATGGCAGGTAGAAGATCATACCTAGTTAGAAATAACTATAAACTCCTTTCAGAATTATTGAGGTAAGCTTTTCCTAGCAATTATACAATACCTTCCAGTCTTGTCCCTGATCTCCATCCATGCAATACCTGCCATGAAATATACATAATATGTGATGTGACTCTTTTAAAACCCTAGCTCTCAATCAGAAATTGCTCCAAATGTGCTGGTTTGAAATCTGAAGCCATTTCTGTATGTGGAGAGATAAATTTGTCATTTCACTTTTATAAATCAGTATGTGTTAAGATGTGATAGCTAAGTACACTTGAACATATTTACAAGTTTTAGAAATGTATCCACAGAAGCCTCACACCCTAATACCAGCAACTGATTAGTTGCAAAGCAAACAACATATTAATTATGCATTTATCAGTAATATATTTGTTGTAAGCTTTGCTTATTGAACAGTAAATGTAATAAGAGATGTGAAGGTTGGGGGAGGTCAGTGTAACCTCGAAAAGTGTATATCAAATATACCAAGCATTAAATGAAAATCATGGTTCATTGTTACTGTGTTCACTCAAGAAATGCATCTTCAGAAAGCTTTTTCTGCCTGACTCTGTCATTATCTGTGTAGTATTCCCCACTCTCTGAATCCAATCTGTTCCTCTCCAGTCTTCTCAAGCTCCTTGTCTGTTTGAACTCATGGGCTGTCTGTTAGTTGTTTTTATGTGTGAGTTGACAATTGCTGGTGGTAGGCAATAACACATAAGTAGTTAGTTTCTCTTGAAATCACCCAACAATAAAATTTTCCAAGTAAATACTTCCTTCAAGGGATCTAGCCTTTGTATTTTAAGAAAAGCAAGTATACTGTGTCTTGCATGGGGTCTGGGATTGCTAAATCTCAAGTTCTTGTGTGTATCAAGTTGTCATTGACAGTAGAATAAATGAAACATTGGAAGGTATTTAAACTTCTTCACTGTACCTGAATTTAATAAAGAGAAAATATAGCAAGTTTTTATAATAAATTAATTTTATCTCCCTGTCAACACTTTCTTAAGAGAAAAACCTAATAGCTACTTAAAAGGGTATGTGCAGGGACGCTTTTATTTGAAGTCTTTACCATAGTCTATAGATAACACTCTTATTCAATTTCTGATAGTTAACCAATTCCTATGGTCTAATACTTATTTCACTGTTGTACTATCTTCTATCTTGCTTTTTAGTGTTCGTGGTTATTGCTTGAAGTTAGATACAAGTGCTACTTTGTGGGTCACTTGTCATTGATCACTGAGCTAGAAATGAGGGTGACTACTTGTATGTTAAGAGCATGTTTAACATGATTGCTACTCTTTGAATTGTAAACAATGACTAAAGAGAACAGATAAACAGCCAGAGTTTTGCTTCATGTACCCATTTCCAAGTGGCTGCGCTATCCTGGGTCTGCTCCCCCGAGGAACATGAAAGGGCCCTTACACAGCTCAGCTTTGCTTGAGAACTGGTTGCTACTGCAGGAAGGATTCTTCATGGGCCTCATGGCCTGACACTGGAGTCAGACCTGCAAGTAGAGCAGACAGAATGGCATGTTCCAAATTAGCTTGCATAAAATAATACTAAATGCTGGTGAGGATTCAAGGTCACATTCCATCTGTTCCCAGTGAACTTGCAAAATGGTGCCCTGATTGGAAAGAGCTCCGCAATTTATGAAAAATCCAAATAATTTTCCCTATGACCAAGCAGCTCATGTCCTCCTCGCTAGGTGTTAACCTGGCTAGTTTGGAAATATGGACAGTTATATACAAATCAGAAAGTAAGAGAAAATCCATACATACCTGATTCTAAGAGCATTCTTAATATTAATTAATAATTAAATAATAATAGTACTTTTGTTTGCAAGTTTTAATAATAATTTTATACTATCTAATATTAATGAAATGATATGCTGGGCATATTGTTCAGTTGGGAGTATACTTACCTAGCATCATGTAGGAAGTCCTGGATTTGATTCCAGCAGATCCTAAACTGGATATGATTTTATATATATATATATATATATATATATATATATATATATATATATATTTGTATATATATTTGTATATATATATATAAATATAAAATCTCAGCACTCAGGTGATAGAAGCAGAGAAATCAGAAGTACAAGATTATCTTGGGCTACATACTGAATTTAAGGCAGCTACAAGAAACCCTTTCTCAATAATAATAATAATAATAGCTCCAAGGAGGAAACTATGAGAAAGACATCTTCCAGGAAATGAATGAACAAGCAATGGGCCATCTAAATAATGGGACACTATTCAGTGATGAAATAAATGAAGTACAAACTTCATAAACTCATGACCATTACATTCACATTGCTAAATGCAAGAAGCTACTGTACAGACAACATGATCTTTATCATTCTAGTTACATGACATCCTGAGAAGGGAAAACCCACAGAGTGCAAATAGATCAGTGACAATCAGGAGATAGGCTGAACAGGGGGTCAAAGGGGCAGATGAAGAAATTAATATTTTGAAAGCAGGTAGAAAGCATTCCCTGTGGACCTATACTAACTCATGGTATGGTATGTTTATGAAAACCATAGAGAATATAAATCATACATTAAACATTAATATATGCAAATTAAATAAAATGATTTAGGAGGTCATAACCTCCCCAAACAGTTTCTAAAATATGACAAGGAATCAAATCACATATTACCCATGTAAACAGCCATCTCAGCTAGGGACAGTGTTACCTCAAAATTGTTGCAAATGAGCTGTGAGTCTAAACATAACCCATATTATACTTCTGTATGGTTATCTGTTTAATAATGTTGTTTTTCACTGAGCAGTTCTAATATCATGCATGCTGGATTTAAGCCACCAAGTCAGTGGACGCAGATCATGGGGCTGGATTTGTAGCTCTAGGTGGGAAAGGTTACTAATTATCAGTTATGGAATTGGTGATTGTTTAGAGTTGTTGGAGGCACTGGTATGTACATATATATTCAAACATGATATAAACAAACACAAAGGCTTCCATACATGAAGGTATATGCATATACACACAGATGTTTTATTTCAGTCATTCTAGAAGACACAGATACAGTGTGTCCCTGTAGGAAGTGTCAAGATATTTCTTTTTATTAAGTTTGCTCTTGAAGGAACAAGGAATATTTCAGAAATGACTGATTACAGGACTGCAGCAGGAAATGTCCTATATAAATCATTTTAGAGTACCTTATGGCTCCCGAAGACATGGAAGTGCTAGGGCAAATAAAACTACTTTTAAAAAATAAGAGACATAAAGAGGGGGCTGGGAGATGGCCCAGGAGGTAAAATGTTTGCTGTGTGAGTGTGAGAAGTGAGTTTAGATTCACAGACATACATACAAAGCTGGGCACCTGACCACATGTCCGTAACTCCAGTTCCCTTGTATCAAGATGAGAGAACAGCGGAATCCTGGAATCTGGAAGACAAGTAGCCTGGTGGCCTCGGCATTGACGATAGGAGAGTCTGTGGCCAACAAGGTGAAAGTGAGGGCTGGTACCTGAGGCTGTCCTCTGACAGAGGTGCCTGCAGCACACACACACACACACACACACACACACACACACACACACACACACACACCACATACACATGCACACAAGTACACACACACACATTCATTTTTTTTTAATTTTGAAAGGAAACATAATGAGGATATTATGACACAGATGCCAAAAGATTTCCTCAAAGTTAGAACTGACATATCTGAGACACAAATTAAATTTAAAATTGCTGCATTATAGCTGAAAGGAGAAAATGAGTACCAATGAGTCTACATCAGAATATATAAAATGCTGAATAAATAATGAGTCAGGAGAATGGAGAAATCTTCCTGTAGAAGAATGTCAAATTCTTTGTGTAGAGGAGGTGGTATTTAAATTTTCCTTTCCCTTAGTGTGAACTGTGCATGGGAGCTTTTCCCAATGAGATAAAATGTTCTTCCTCAGTGATTCCAAATCCAGTCAGGTTGTCCATGGGGACCAAGCATCTGATGAATCACCTTCAAACCTTTCAAAGTTGAGTAAACTGTGACATAAAAGGGAGATTGGGGAGGAAGACAAATTTAATTTGTTATTTGAATAGAACCACAAACAATAAAAAGAATATTGTGTAAAATCTTAAAAAAAGTAGTAAAATTTTCTTAGATGTCTCCACCCTGAATTATGACTATGAGAGACCAGATTAATGCAACCTTGAAAAATACAACTTTGACATCATGATTATTTTGAGACACTTCAGACATAAGTGACTCAGCACAATTACCTTTCAGTAAGATAAATTTGCATGTGTAATGTAAACGTGCCTCTTTAATATTTGTATCTCCTTGTCTACACCAGGAAGACTAGTCTGATAGGGGAGGAAGAAGAATAGAAAAGAAGAAAATTTGCAGAGGGGTGTGGAGCCACACTTCCATGTGTGTGTGTGTTTAAGACCAAAAGCCCTACTAGTGATTGAATTTAAATCCATGGCATGCTCAGGCACATGGATCTTGTATAATGTTGATATC